AGAAGGGTCCAGACCCGAAACGTCAGCTTTCCTGCTCCTCTGATGCTGCTTGGCCTGCTGTGTTCATCCAGCTCTACACCTTGTTATCTCAGATTCTCCAGCGTCGGCAGCTCCCACTATCTTTGAATAATATCTGAAGCTTTTCTGTTTAAAAGTAGAGGTAGCTAAATTAAGTACCTACTTTATAATTAGATAAATCAATTTATTGAGGCCCGTGCTAATACTGCAGTGCAAGCGAGAGTAAATAGTTGCAAATCCAACAGTCAGAGTGAAAAAAATGTGGAAAAGTGGGAGGTGGTCTTCTGCTTCTGATTTAGGCTAGATTTCAACTGTCTATGGTTGGGGATTTTCGGTTTACAGCATTGGGAAGTCGGTGAGTATTGGCATCTTTTCTCGTCAGTCCACCTTGAGTGAGTTTCCTTCTGAAGGTGTTGGTCACTGGGTGAGCTTTGGGCGTGTTCTGGTGAGTGTTGGACTCCCCGGGATTGGACACCTGGCGAGTGTTAGGTTTGCCCCTGGTGTGGTCATTGGATGAATGTTGGGCAGTGGGTGAGAGCTGGACTCCCCCTGTGTTGGTCACTGGGTAAGTGTTGCGTTCCCCCAAGCTTGATGTCTGCTGTGATGGTGAGTTAGGGGCGGGGGGACTAGGAAACCGAGCTCCACCCCAGGTGCTTGGTGGTTGGTACAGATCTCTCTGAGTCACGGCAGGATCAGTATTGCACTGGGCTCCTAGGAGCTGGATGAGTGCTGCTATAACGTGTTCGGGACCGTGTCGCTGTCACTTTGAGCCGGCTGATCGTTCCGATGACTGCGGCGGTGATGAGGAGGGATGGTGTCGGCTCGTACCGGGAGGTAAGTGCATAAAAGGGTTGGCAGTCTCGCTCGAGCTGTTTTATTGAAACCGGCCTCTGCAAACAAGAGCCTTCAGCTTTCATTGAGTTGAAAATAGTTACCTAAAGTCTGCAGTTGGTCGGAAATAATAGTTGAAATACTCTTGGGTTTATTGGTTGCGTGAATTGCATACGTTTTTCTGCGCTAACAATTAAAATAGTTGCTGGTTTAGTAATGTGTTGGGGTAGTTGCATACGGTACAGTAACATGAGCAATCCCAGGACCTTGTTGTTCAGGCTGCACGGATGCGCCGCTGTGTGACCACAACAGTCCCCCCAGGGAGACGGCGCCTGAGTAGTTACGCAAGGCCAAAGATACTCCTTCGCCTTATCAAAAAGCCCACGAGGGCTGGTGCTTTAAAACCAGGAATTTAAGAGTCATGAAAGAAGGATGGGACTTAACAGGTCCGTCACCATCTGTCAAGAGATAAGTTGCATTCATTTCGGAGTTGTGAAGATGGTGCGATTACCCCTCAATCTCCTTCTCACTATTAGGAGCCCTATAGTGTGTAGCCAGCTGTGCGTCAGCTCCTCATTCCGTCAACCACAGGCAAATCGGCTTCGTTTTGAACTCTCAAATACAGTATCCGTGCGCTTTTAGTGTAATAGTATCTCCGACCAATTCTGTTAACACGTTCCTTGATCTCCTTGTCTGTCCTAAAAATTAAGGTCAGGATTCTGAAGTGCTTCTTCTTCTGTTAACTTGGCCTATTTGACGTTTCCTATCATATTGAGAGGCTGATATTTAATCTCTAGAGCTCCTGAAACTGCAGGTAGTCAACTCTCCTTCCTATATCATATTTCCAACATAGACCACAACCTCTGACTGTTCCTTTCTCCCTTGCAAAATGCTCTGCACCTGTTCAAGAAGACACAAAATCATCAGTGAGAAATATGGTGACTTGAAAGTAGAGTATGTTTTAAAGAGCTATTTGAATGCCCTTTCATATAAGTGATTAGTCATTTTTGAAGTTATATAGTATGACTAACACATGACTCCCTCCCCCCCCCCCCCCCCCCCCCCACACACTCTTCATTTTACACATCTGCCTCAGCACCTCTTAAAAACAAAATTCAAAACACTTTGGGGATAAATAGGAAATCCTGTAAACAGAAGTGGCTTCAAAACAGACTTGGTTGATTAGTTTGTGATTGTGTTCTTGCTGGATGACTCAGAAGGTGGTTGTTGTGTTAACTTGCACTCAAAGCAAAGGAAGTCAGGTTTGTTAACACCCTACAAAAAAAGAAGTCATGCAAAACTTTACAAATCATGAGTTTAGCGTCAGTTGAGGATATTCATGGAAATATACAGCGGGCTTGTCAGTAAGTGAAGATAAAGGGATAAGTGAGGATATAAAGTGTGTATGAATTGGATTTTACCCATTTCCTGTCCTAATCTCCAGTGCTTCAAACAGATGTGTATTTGCTGCTATTTGTCTTTCTGCTTCTGTCTGTAATGCAGATTAGATATTTTTAATTAACCTATTCAGGCATGTTATGACAAACCTCTAGAGCAAATGGGTATTGAACCTAGGCCCAAAGTTGCTGGAAATGCTCAGCAGCATCTGTGGAGAGAAATCAGAGTTAACGTTTTGGGTTCCTCAGAACTAGTCGCTGAATTCAAAACATTAACTTTGATTTCTCTCCGTGGATACTGCCAGACCTGTTGAGCTTTCCAATAATTTCTGGTTTTGTTTCTGATTTCCAGCATCTGAAACTCTTTTAGTTTTTATTTAACCTAGGCCTTCTGGCTCAGTGGTAGGGACACTATCATTGCCACATCAGCCCTCCTGCCATGCAACATAATCTTTGCAAAAAAATTCTAAACTCCCCATATCCTGAACTGTAATGAAACTGTCTCAATTCCTGTGCAGGATGACTAATTTCGAAATGAGCTAACATTAGTTGATTTTTAATTGGTACTTTCTCTGTGACCTAGATGCTCTGCTGAAGCATCCACTTCTTTGCAGGTCTTGAGTTCTAATTGCTGGCTTGCCCACCTAAAAAAAAACAATTTTTGAAAACTGTTTATTAAAAACCTTTACATTTTTTTCTGCAGCTTTCAGATGTTGGAACAGAGGAAAGCAATTGCTATTCTGACCTCAGGAATGAGACTGACACTGAGCAAGATGATTTAAATGGAACAGTAATACAAGGTATAAACAAGTATTACCTCTCTTTTCTATCTCTCCCTGTAGAAAGGCAGGGGGCTGAGGTCTACAGGTCACCCGTGGTAGAAAAGCAAACAGCCCTGTAGGACAGTGTCTTATTGCCAGCCTGCTAACACTTGCTTTGCAATAATTTTATGGGTAATGAGTGAGACATCTGGTGGACCAACTGTCCTTGGCCCAACTGAGAACCTTAAGTGAGTAATTAATGTCCAATGAAGGGCCTCATCCCACTGCCAGTCTGATTTAAAAGGGAGTGGGAGTGACCTGTGCCAACATGTAGCCTGGCAGTTTTAGCCCTGCAGGCTGTTGATTAGTGAAAGAGCATATACCTTCTTCTCTGCTCCCTGTGCCTATTGGAGGCCTGCACCACAGTTTGAACTCTTCTGGTTCCATTGGCAGCACCACCAACGTGTCTCCCACCACCCTTAATGGCCCTGCAAATCTAGCCCTGGTGGGAACCTGGACTGAACTGGATCTGGGGACATCGAAAGTCCTTCTTCTGTTTGGACCTTCTGCAGTTTCAGCAGTGGTCACTGATCCTGGAGGCACAGAACCTCTGACTTCCAGTTAGGCGACAGGTTTTGCTACTGGGGATGGACAAATCCCGTTTTATACTAATTAAAGGGCTGCTGGAGGAAATTAAAGTGATGTACAATGGCTGAGTGGAGATATGCTCATCTCCAAAATTTACAGGGGGGTGCAGGAGACCTTCCTCAGCATATAATCCAGCTAATTTGTATTGTTCCAGAGTTTGTGTGATTTGGAATAGGATAATTTTTAAACTGGTTTTGTGCTTATTTTAATTTGGAGTCCAGATTATTGTCTACCTTGAACCAGCTCCTTGAATTTACATAACTAAAGATGACACACTTATTGTTCGGACACAGCAGCTGTTTTTGGTTGTGTAAATGTTGAAAGCCAGTTGCAGCAACTAGTTCTGGAATTCTAATTAAAATAAAGCCTGTGTAACTGCGGAATTGTTTGTAGTTGTTTAAAGAAGCAATCAGCAAAATTGTTTGGATAAATCATGTCTGCTTATGACTGCTCTGAAGTTACTTTCTGCCTTGAGTTTTAAATTAAATTGAGATTCATTGCCACATGTATATAAAAATACAGTAAAAGGTGTCTTCTCGTGTGTTATACGCAAAGTGTTGCCAAACTCCAATGAAACATTGAATATAATGCAATAGAGTTCATCTTTTTCTCTTCTTGTTCCTCCTCCGCTGCTCCTCCAGTTGTTAACTGTTGACATTTTTTTTGCTTTCATTTTAAATCTCTGCAATGGTGGTTCCTTGTGAGAATGTAATCATGTTCTACAGTAATATTACTCAGAACTGTTTGAAAGACAGGGCTTGATTGACTTAGTCAATAGAATTTTAAAAAAGAATTTGGGCTTATGCTTTCAGTGCCGTCTTTATCCTTATTTTGACTTTTTTTTGTACTGTTTGGATAAACATTTATGTTCTGTACTCTAAATTATAGTTTGGGAGAATTTGTAACCTTGTACTTTGTTACTGCAATGTGAAAACATTTTACTTATCAAACTAAAAACAAGATTTCAGCAGTTGAACGTGAATTTATAAACAAAGTTTGCATGAAGGAAAGTAAGTATATTGAAAAAATAATTCATTGTCTGTAAACTGTCCCATCTTATACTGTATTGTCTTTCTCTTCTGACTTTTTCCTCTCCTTTAAACACCTTGCCCTTGATCACCTACTCTTCCTGTCTCTCCTTCAAAGACCCTGTTGTTCATAGTTTTCCAAAGTCTCCATATAACTTGCTGCACCAAATATCTCTTCTTTCCTTACCTTAACCTTGACATTGAATGGTTGTTGATCCTTGATGAATTAAATCTGCCTCCATCCCCACCTCAACCCCTACCCCATTTACCCCCATCTTTAATTTCTCTGCATTCCAGATGTTTACTGATCATCTTCCATTCATGACTTCAGTTTGTAATCACTTCCTCAACCTCACTGTCTCTGATGTCGCTTTCACTGACGAGGTTATCGTCATTTAACATCTTAAGCCTATCTGCCTGCAGCTCCCTTAACCACACCCTTTCTAATATCCTGTCTTAAGGATATAAATGGATCCAATTCATGAACTGGCTATTTGGAACGAAACAACCATGATTCTCTTTCTCTTGCTTTTCTCCTGCCTGTTTCTATACTTCCTTCTTCACAGCAGCAAACAACCTCTCAGCAATATATTTCTAACCTCAGCTGAATGAACATTCTCTTCATAGTCCCCCAAGCTTACAACATACACAGTATACAAGTCACTGAAATTTCCACTGCTGCATTCTATTGCAGTCTTATTTCACACCCCTTTCTTACCTATCTTCATCCACCTGCATTGAACTCTTTATCTCCCAATGCACTGAATTCAAATCATTGTTCTCATCCACAAATCCCTCCACAATATTGATATTCTTAGTTCTGTTTGTTACCTGTATATATTACAGCATGCTGGTTATTCTTCTGACATATTGTCCTTTTAATTCTTCACCCCACCCCCCTCCACTCCATTTAATGGTACAGCTTTAACTGTAGCTTGACCTCCGACTCTGAAATAATTCCTAAAACACCACTACAATGCTACTACCTTAACTACAATAAAGAAAGTGGTAATCAGTTGCATATCCACTCTACAGTGCTGCAGATGAAAGTCTTGGCTAAGAGAACGTTAAACTCCTTAGTAGTCAGCTGCCAGGACCCTAAGTCACTAATGACTGCAAACTGAACCAATGTGATATATACATCATATAAACCACAGTGAGATATGATTGATTCATTACTTTGTAACTCATAAGTTTGAACAGCATATAGGTCTTGTTACAATTCTCTATCAAGGGAAGGAATTTGTGGTTAAATGAATGCTTTTCCCTGTTCTAGATGATGAACCTGGCTCCACAAGTCTTTCCTCCATCTTTGGTAAAGCCTGTCTGAAGAACACTTTTTCTGTGGTTCTTATCCTTATCTACCTGCTGTTGATGTCTGTGGCAGTATTCCTGGCCTATCAGACCGTTACAGACTTCAGGGAGAAGCTGAAACATCCTGTTATGTCGGTGTCCTTCCAGGAAGTCCTAAAATATGATGCTCCTGGTGAGAATACATTTTATTTTCTCATGAAATTGCTGACATAAAGTCATTCAAAAACAAAAATGCTACAGATTCTAGAAACATGGAATAAAAATGTTAAGGCAACATCTGTGGAGGGAGACTCAGTGTTAATGACCTCTTGTCAAAAATAGAATTCATCAGATAAGAGTGTGGTTCTTTCATTGAAACTGAGTGAATTGCTAAATTCTCAATGACCTCATTGAGGCCCAAATAGATGGTGTTGCCTTGAGATTCCCTTTAGGCCCAGCTGTCAATAATTCCTTCATTGGTTATCATGAGAAGTTCATCACTTGTGAAATGACCACAAACCTTCCACCTTTGCATATTTTCAATATGTATATGATGCGTTTACAGTATTTGCATCCACAGCTGCGTCAAAGAATTTCTTTACACAGCTTAATAAATTATGTGAAAACAAAAAGAACTACAGGTGCTGGAAATCAGAAACCAAAACAGAAATTGCTGGAAAAATTCAGCAGGGTATGGCAGCATCTATGGAGAGAAAACAGAGTTAATGTTTCAGGTCAAGTAACCCTACTTCAGTCTGAAGTTCTGAAGAAGGGTCACTGGCCCCAAAACATTAACTCCACTTTCTCTCCACAGATGCTGTCAGACCTGCTGAGTTTTTCAGCAATTATGCTTTTGTTAATAAATTCTGTTATGCATTCAAATTTACCTTTTGAAATGGAGCGATCAAACAAACTCCCTTTCCTCCATGTATAAGTTAAGATGATATCTCAACAACTATACACTGACCACTAAATGTAGACCTTCTGTATATGTATTGGGATTCCTACATTCCCAAATCCTACAAGAACAGTTTTAATGGTAACCTCATTAATAGAGCCCTAGCCATCTACTCACTGTATAAGCTGACGCTAAGCTAGGGCATATCAAAACTATTCTGCATGATATCAGATACACTGGCCACATCATTTCTCAACTCGTGAAAGGGCCTAGGGCCACTACTTTTGGCACTAGGTAGGATACAATGTGTCTCATTACCCTGGAAGGGGAAAGTGTCTCTAAAATGTGAACAATAGGTGATTCTAGCTGTCTCCTGCTCTTACCATGCAGCAAATACATAAGTGGTTTTCTCCACTAATAGAATGCTGCTGTTAAGCCAAAATGTTATTTTGCCTACCAGTTGATTAATTTATGTGATGTACAACATTTAGCGTGAGAGTAGTGCCAGGCGTCCATCCCAATGATTGGCAGCCTGCATCAAACAGCACATCCCTTTAACTATTTGCAGTGCATAGATGCTGATTGTGCTCAGTCAGCCTGTGCTTGCAAGCATCACAAAAGTATATCCACCATTAGATGAGATTCTGATATTGGAAATCAATTATTAAATAATCCAAATTATGCTAAGATTTGTAGATTTTTACACAGGAAACCAATTTAAGACCATCAGTCCAACCCAGAATGTGATGTACTTATGTGTACTAGAAGCTATATATTAATAAACAGGACGCTGTTTTCTGCAGGCAAAAATAATTTGTAGAGATATTGCACATTTTTCATTTTAAAGAAAGAGTGGCAGAAACTGCCAAACTCTGCATTCCCACAGCAATACCATGACCAATCAAAATTTACCTGCCTGGTCTATGAACTGAAAATTGCCTCTTAACTGTTCATGATTGCCCAACCAATCAAAACACGCAGGCTAATAAAATTGGATCTCTTTTCTTGAGTCTGTTTCATGTTTCATTGCCCTGATGAGTACAAGTTGAAAACCTTTGGCTCTTAATCCACAATTAGCAATGTTTACATTTTGTGTGATCATATGGAACGTTTTCAGCAACTGAAGGCAGGTGTGAGAAGAAGAACAAAACAAAGTTTGTGATAGGATGGAAGGGGGACAAGACCAAAAGGAGTAGTAATGGGACATGCAAAGAAATAAAAGCTGCTTCTCGGGGAGGTGTGAGTGGCAGTATCATGAACAACCACCTTTTGAAGACAAAAACGAAAAAAAATGAGCGTAAAATTGAAATGTGCAATGAAAAGGGAAACAAGCTGGGGAGAGATTGTGGTCTGATATTATTGAATCCTGAATCCAGAATCCAGAAGGCTGTAAGCTAGCTAATTGAAGATTAGGTGTTGTTTTTCGAACTTGGATGGAGCTTCATTGGAACACTAGGAACATGTGTATCGAGAAATTTGCATGCGAGCAAAGTGGGGAATTAAAATAGTAAACAGAAGCTTGGGTTCACTCTGCATTTGGTCTTCGTAGCAAACAGCAGACTGAATTATGACCAGCAAATACAGTATTTTAAATTACAACAAGTTCGCAAAAAATGTAGTTTTAGGTCAAATAAATGTTCCAGGCATTGGATGATGAGGAGAGGGGAGGTAAACTGAAAGGTGATGGATGTCCTACATTGGCATGTGAAGCTGCTGTGGGTAGGGAGAGTGTGTTGGGAGTGAATGCAGAATGAAGCAGAGTATCACAGTGAACAGTCCCTGAAGAATGTTGACTAGGCAGTGAAAGATATGTTTGGTAGTGGCATCAATGAAATAGTGAAGCATGATCTGTTGAATGTGGACTAGTGATGTGGAAGGTGAAACTTGATCATGGTTCTCGGTGGGTGAGCGCAGAAATGGGACCGACATAGTCGAGAGCCCTGTTATCCACACTGAGGGCAGCAAAGGAGTTTCTTCGTTGAAGAAAAGTGGAGACATGTCAGAAGAACGGATGTGAAAAGTTGTATCATCAGAATAAATGTAACAGAGCCAGTGCAGTCTGGGTCTCTTCAAGCTGGTCATTCCAGAAAGTGAAGTGGCAGTCAATTAAAGAAGAATGGAGACACAAAATACTATGAACTGTTCCCAATTCTGATGGATGGTCATTGACCTAAAATTTCAACTCTGTTTCTGCCTTCACAGATGCTGACTGACTTACTGAGTAATTCAAGCATTTTCTTTGATATTAAAGTAGTACTTGGCTTTTCAAGCAGTATATTGACATCTAATATTTGTTGCCCTAATCACTGATACTGAAAGAAATCAGTGTACAATTAAATTGTTTCAATAGGTTACAGTCTATAATTACAGTCATTTAATCAGCAGTATTTCAGAAACTACATTTTGAGGTTTTAGCACCATGACTTTCATTCCAGAAGTTACCTTGCTGGGCCCAGTATTAGTACATACCTTTTGACTTGCACCTCAGGCCTCAATTATTTTATTTTCTAGATAATAATACTTAGAGAGAAAGTTATAATATGGTAGTATTTTATGACCTGAGATTAGCAAAGAAAAAAAAGAGATATTTTCCTCCATGCAAAATGAGATGATCTTAAGAAGCGAAATTTCTGACTTTGCTACACCGCATGCAAAATCTCATCCAGCATTTTAATTTTTTCTGTGGGCAGAGTAGGCTGCTTGCAAGTCTGGCATTTATTGCCTATCCCACTGCCTCTGGGAAGGTGGTGTACCTTCTTGAACTGCTGCAGTCTTTGTGGTGTAGACACACCCATAGAGTGAGTTCATGATTATGCCTCAGCAGCTATGAAATATCTATGAATATGGCTCCAGATCAGATGGAGGGGAACTTGCAGAGGGTGGCATTCCCATTTCTTTTTTTCTATCCTTGTTCTTCTAGGTTGTAGATACTGCAGGTTTTGAAGGAGGTGTTGATAGAACCTTGGTGAGATGTTGCAGTGTGACATATATACTCTGCTGCCACTATGCATCAGTGGGGAAGGGAATAAATGTTTTAGGTGGTGAATGGGCTGCAAATCAAGTAGGCTGCTTTGTCCTGGATAATATTGTGCTTCCTGAGTGTTGTTGGAGTTGCATTCCCTTTGGCAAGTGTATAGTATTCCATCACATTCCTGACTTTGCAAGCAGTAATGAGGCTGCAAGCAGAAATGACGCCAGAAGCCAGTGATCCTGATGGAACCTAGACTGGATTTCACCTATGTAGGATTAGTTCTGCTTGATAGCACAGCTGGCAATCCTTTTTGCATCACATTGCTGACGGTTGAGAATAAACTGATGGGGAAGTATTTGTCCAGATTGGATTTGTCCTGTTTTTCTTGTGAAAAATGACCCTGTACACATAGTTGCACGGGTGCCAGTGTTGTAGCTATACTGGAACAGCTTGGCTAAAGGTACAGTTAGTTCTGGAGTGCAAGTCGTTAACTTCAACTGAGAGATTATCAGGGCCTGTAATATTTCCTGTATCCAGCCCCTTCAGCTTTTTCTCAACATCCTGTAGAGTGAATCAAATTGTTTCTAGACTGACATTTGCAGTACCTGGGAATTGACAGGAGGCCAAAATGGATCATCCAGTTGGCATTTCTGGATGAAGATGGTTGCAAATGTTTCAGTCTTGCCTTTTGCATGCTGAGCTCTACCATCATTTGAGAATTGGGATATTAGGAACCTCATCTTGTTAGTTGTTTAATTTTTCACCGCTATTCCTGACTACACGCAGTGGGACTGCAAAGCTTTGACCTGATTTGTTGGTTGTTGGATCTTAGTTCTGTGAAATGCATGCTGTTTCTATTCTTTAGCCTGCATGTGGTCCTGTGCTGTAGCTTCATCAGTTTGGCATCTCCGTTTTAGGTACATCTGACTTAGCTCCTGGCATGTACTCCTACCCTTTTGAAGCAGGGTTGGATCCTGATTAATAGTAATGGAGGAGGGAGGAATATGCTGATCAATGACTTACAGATTCTGGTTGAATGCAACTCTGACAACCTGCAGCACGTTTTGGACATGTCTAATCTATGACATACTACGACTGAATCTACCCGAGTTATCATTGTGGTAGTGTCATGCACCTTAGTGAGGTTGTTTCCTCATTTTGGATTATATCTCCTGTATCCAGCCCCTTCAGCTTTTTCTCAACAATAAGGACACTTTACTTGTACTAATACTGCTATTTTACCATGTTGGTTATCTTGCCAGTATGAAATTGAGTGAACTTTGAGACAACACACTCCCAATTTTCACATTTCACCTGATGTTAA